AAGGGAAGCTGTCGTCGGGCGAAATTCTGAAGACCTATGTTGATGAAAGCTCTGCCTTGCTTCGCTTCTGCATCGCTGGGCGAGAAGAAGATGCATCTCCGGGAGATGTGAGTCTGTCGCTGGGCAAAAGAGGATATTTATTTCAGTTGAGGACGTGGCTTTTCCTGGGCCTTGTATATAAGACTTGTCGCCGGGTGACGCTTTTATTTTGCCGGGCGATGGTTGCGGATCAGATTTTCTTTATATTTCCTTTTTGTTTCATTTGGAGGGTTATGGTTTTAGGGGGTGATTTTTGTTCTCCCAATTCTATCAACCTCATTTTTATATTGGATTAGCTTAGATAACAACACTAGTGCTTTGCTTATGGATGATTGGAGATGGATTTCTCATTGACCGACTCTGACAAACTGGAAGATTTATGGTTTATCTCTACTCCCCTCTATGTATTTATCCTTTGTTGGGTTTTGTACATGTAATTTACTCTGAACTTATGTATATTTGTCGCCCATGGTGTTATATAAAACTTGCTTTATAAATCTTTATGGGTTGGTGTCTTAGATTTTTGCTCTGTGCTAGGGATTTGAGTTGTTATAGACATATACTGCTTAGATTCTTATCTAGGATGATTATTTGTTAGTTTCTGAACTCTAGAGATAGATTTAGAGCTGACATTTACTTGAGTATCAGAGTTTAATTCCTCTGTGTGGTTGTGCTGTGCTGAGAGATCGTCAGTGCGATTACATAGTTGTCTTATGTGTTGTTGAGGAGGTAGAGAGATCATTTGGTGATACAGTCAGTCTCTCGATTTGGGTTAGAAATGACTTAGGTTGTGAGTGATACGTAGTGATATTGATGAGTATTGTTAGGTTACATATAACTGGTCGGTAGATTTAAGTCTGTCATGAGTATATTATATGCAGGCTTGATAAGTTCTTCCTTAGTTTTTACTTTTATTTATAATTTTTTTTCTTCTGTTGATAACATTTTCTTTACAAATCATTTATCCCCAAACTCATTAACGAGAGATTTGTCGAAAGACAATTCAATAACCAATCTTTGTGGATACGATAAATTACCGGATAAATATTTCCAAAACTTTTGTTGCTTGCCGCTACACAGCGCTTCCAACACATCCACGTTTCTCTAAATGAATCACCTTGCTTACTCCTACAAATGCCTTCTTCTTGGAAGAACCTTCCCCGAAACTGTTGGCTAAGCCAATTGAGTTCTTTTTGTGATAACTCCTATCCCTAACATCCAAGAAATTAAAACACCGAATTATTCCAACAAAAATATTCAATTGCAGTTTGCAAAAGAATAAAAACCCTAAAATATAATCAAATAACATTTAAAAACCCTAACAGTATAAAGACTGCTTCTCAGATCCAGAGCATCATGCAGAAGATATCAAACTTATTAATCATTTTTTGGATAAACTGTCATATATTTGTCAACAACAAAAATAATCAAAACCCTAAAATATAATCAAATAACATATAAAGTTATTTCCTTTTGTAAGTAACTAACCTGGAGCTTCTTGATAGCTAATCCATCTTTTTAAAAGATGTATAACTATAACTTTGAGAAGTTACAAAGTGACATCTTCAGATTCAAGTTCGATCGCTTTGTCATCTTCGACTAGGACTTCGTTGGTAGTGCAGAGGGATAAAAGGATGATGATGATGTTACAAACGATATAGGAAAAAGAAGAATAGGGAGAAAGAAGATGAAGGGTGAGAAAGAGAAAAGACGAGAGAGAAAGAGAAAAGGAAAAAGGATGTGTGTGTGTGTGTGTGAGAGAGAGAGAGAGAGAGAGTAAATTTTGAATTTTGAATTAAAGGTGTAATTGGAATAAGAGATAAGAGGAAAAAGAAATTGAATTGAAACCATGTGACAACATCATCTGATCCAAACTCAGCAAGCAAGAAAAAAAACAACAACCATGTAATTGAAATACAACCATGTGACATAAATAGTTGAAAAAAATAATTTTAAGACACAAAATATCCTCACTTTGGTGAGATGTTGCAAGAAAGACAAGAATTAAAAAAGTGTTTTCCAAAACTCCAAATATTCTTATATAATAGATTTACGATAAATATTTTTAGCAAAATAACTTATAATTGTGATAAAGAAAATATCACTAAGCGTAAGATAGATGATAATAAAAATATAGATGATAATAAAAATTGGTTTTTAAAAAACTTAGCTTGTAATATTGGTAACGGGTAAATGGTTAGACATGACTTTTGGTTAGGCACGTATAAGTTGAAGAATTTATTCTATTTTGAGCTGGTTGTGAATAAAGAAGCTTTGTAATACAAAATGCAGATTGTTGGCGTGTTTTCTGCCTTGCCCTGAAACCATTCAATATTTTTTTCAATGTACATTTATTAGAAAGGTGTGGAAGAATGTTTTCTCTTGGTGTTTACCCTAAACCCAAAACGAGAAGACCAACAATCGTAATAAGAAAACCTATGCATAAAAAACAATTCTATATTATGGTTGTAATATATATATATATATATTCTTTTAATTTTGTTATAGGGACATGATTTACTTCTCTTTTAACCGACATGATCCTTCGTAAAAGGTAAATAGTTCATTTTCATTAAGATGTTACGTTTTTTTTGGTAAGATGTTAAGTTTTAGTCAATATAAATATAGAACTTAATTCCATAGTAGCTCACCTGGTAATATTCCATCGTATAAAATATAGAATTTAATGGAAAAATTTATATCGTCATTTAATAAAAATATATCATTCTATTATGATATAGAAAATTTTTAAATTTTTTAATCTGATTTAATAAAATATATAATTATCATTGATTGATAATTTAATGCATATCTTTTTTTCTTATAAACATATTTATTTAAGTATGAGTAGTCTTTATCACCCCATTAATATATTTTGATGGTAAAAAAACATATTATTTCGCTGAAGAGTTTTAAAATGTTATATTTTATATAAATTTGTTGAACTCTCTAATATCTCAAAAATATCTAGTACTTAAAATTTGAATTTTTATTTTAAAATATATTATTTTATTAATTAAAATAAGATTAAGAATCAATTTAAGTGAGATTTAAACTCAATATGTTTTTTTTTAAATTATTGATTTATAAATATTTATAACTTATTTATATTAACAAAAATATAAATAAATATTACATTTAAAAATTAAATTATAAATTAATAATTTTTAACTCTTTAATATTATTAGAATAATAATACAAATGTGAGTAAATAAAAAAAATAATCTCACGTTAAATAAGATTGTGATGATTTTGATATTTAAACGCATGAGAATTTATCCCTATTATCTTAACTATTTCGTGTTTGACCATGAGATATTTATATCCCATTGTAAAGTGTCAAGTGTATGTGGGGTACTGTGGACTCAAATTACCTCCCAATAAATATATATATATATATATATATATATATATATATATATATATATATATATATATATATATATATATATATATATATATATATATATATATATATATATATATATATATATATATATATATATATATATATATATATATATAAATTTAGGTAAATTCTTGACTACCTTTCATAAATTTAAGTGTAATTTATCTTTTGTAACATATATCAATTAAATTTTGTCATATAAATATATTAATTTAAAATTTTAAATAATTAAAATAAAATAAAAATATATATAATTTAATTTTTAAATAATAATATATTAGTATGTCAATGGTGAATAATGATTCTCATATTAGATAGAAAAGAAGATATTAAATATTTTTTAAGTAAAAAAAGACATAAATCTAATATTTTAATATTTTGAATTGATATATAATTTTAAAAATTAATTTAATATAATAAAATTTCACTGATATAAATAAGTCATTAAAGGTAAATTATCTTAATTTTATACAGGATAACCTAAAACTCACTTTAAATTTAATATTTTAAAATATAAAAAAAACTAAAATATTATCTAACTAAAACTCAATAAAATCTTATTTTAAAATGGCCATTAACCTCATATTTAGTAACACCATCTTTTCCTTAAAGTAAACTAAAGAAAATCACATTACTTATCAAAAGTGATATTTCTAATATTATTAGGAATCTATTTAGCATAACATACTTTTATTTTATAGTTTATAATTTATAATTTTAAAGTTTATATGATAGCAAAAGATTTGTTTGATAAGGATTATTTCATTACACATATATAATTTATTTTTTATATATTATTTTAAATAGTATTTTAGTTTATAATTTATGATTTATTATATATATTTTTTAATTAAAACTAACTTTTATTTTTTATAATTTATAATTAATTTTAATTTAAATTAAAATAATTATATATTAAATATAGAAATATCAAAACATTATATTATTTTATATTTATCATTTAATTGAATTATTAATTTTATTAATATTTTAATTCACTTACCAGTAATCTTAAAAATACAAGTAAAAAAAAAGTTGGGTCGGCCACTTGACATTTGTAGTAGGTGTTAGTTCGTGTAAATCTTGAATTCCACATTTTCAATTTCATTTCCACTCTTTGTGGCCAACTACCACTTTTTGTTTCATGTTTTGTGTCCACACAAGAAAACAAGGTGACGTCGTACAACAACAATAGTAACGTCACTAGAATACGCCACGTCGCTTAATAATAGCCGTCGATTAATATCCAACGTCCATAATTATTTATCCACCAACCCCTTAAACTCTTTCATGCAATAAATCAATCTTCGCCGTCCATTATTCCCACCTACCAAATAACAACGTACAAGATTTTAACTGGCCCCAACATTTTTTTATTATTTTTTATTATCATAAATATTTACTTTATATATACTCTCATTTCTCTTCATCACTCTCTCAGGAAACCAAATTCATTGAATCATATCATCATTGAATCATTTCCCACACAACACTAAGATACCATAAAATTTTCATCTCTTTTCATAATTTCAATATCATAATTATTATTACAATGGAGGGAGTTACTACCAATGGCCACGTTGAAGAAACTTTTTGTTTGAGCAAAAATGGCGGTGTTGTTGCTGGGGCTGATCCACTCAATTGGGGTGCGGCAGCGGAGGCGTTGACGGGGAGTCATTTGGATGAGGTGAAGCGTATGGTTGCCGAGTATCGTAAACCGATCGTTAAAATCGGCGGTGAGACGCTCACCATTGGTCAGGTGGCTGGAATTGCTTCTCACGATAGTGGTGTCCGGGTGGAGCTTTCCGAGTCGGCAAGGGCTGGCGTTAAAGCGAGTAGTGATTGGGTGATGGACAGCATGAATAAAGGGACTGACAGTTACGGTGTTACCACCGGTTTTGGTGCTACTTCTCACCGGAGAACCAAACAAGGTGGTGCCTTGCAGAAGGAGCTAATTAGGTAATTAACTATATTATATTATTCTTTTTAATCTTATTATTCTATATTTTATTGAATCTTTTACTCCAAAAAAATAAAAATATTAATTACTATTCTAATAAATTTATTATGTATTTTACCGGGTGTTTTTTAATGATAAATAGTTTTAATAGTCAGCCATTAATGTTAATTTCTCCTTCACGTATACAGTGTATTTCACTTTATCTAAACATGTCATTAATTCTCTAATATCATCAGCATGTTGATTAAGAAAGTTTTTTTCATTGAGTTTTTTAACAAAATGAATATGTTAATTAATTAGAAAATTGACTAACAAAAATTTACTGTATTTGCCATGATAATTACAGTATTAACTAATATTATGCTATCTTTTTTTTTTATTTGATTTTATGCGTTTATCTTCATTATCAGAACATTTTCTTTTGACCAATTCATACAGAATTAATATTTTTATTCAGATGTGAACCAAACACTTTTATAATATTATTTATAAAGGAGGTTGGTTAAGGAAACTCAATCGGCCTGCATAATTTGATTATTTTATTTAGTGATATTCTGGAGTTTTGTTGTTTCAAAATTTAAATTAGTTTTAAACTAAATTAATATAAAAATGATATATTATTAAATAATTTAAATGCCATTTTTGTACTTTCATACGTAGGTTTTGTACTTATTCCTTGCAATATAAATATGATAAATATTTTGACTAATTAGTATATTTTTTTTATTTCCTTAAATAATTAGACATCATTTTAGAGACGTATTAGTTTTATTTTCTAAAACTAAAATGACAACACCTAGCTACTAATAAAAAATACTGAAACTGAAAAAAATACTTACAATCTCTAATTAAGTAATGCTATGTTAGGCTTTTTCCGTATAAAAAAAATATTTTAAGTGATTTACTTTATTTTGTCAAAAATTTAAAGAGACAACTTATTAATCTATTATTTCAAGTAAAAATATAAACAATATGATAACTCAACTGCTTGCCTTGAAACAGAAAGTTGACTTTTTTTTTACAATTTCAGTTTTCTTTGCCTAGAAAATTATATTTTAAGTTTTTCTTTAAAATCAATCAATGTAAATGAAATAATAAAGTTTGAATAAACATAGTTTACATAAATTGGCAAAAAAAAAAATACAATAAATTCTAGTCAGTCACAAAAAAACAAGAAATACTAAATTTTGTATTTTTCAAAAAAGGCTAAGGTGAGACTTGTCCACAACCTAACTCATGGTCCAGCTTACTGAGTTGGAAACTGTTGATTAGCGAGTTAATTAAGTGAATTGATTAACATTAATTAGAATTTGAGTTAGGTAAGTATTAGGACAAAACAAAGTAGTTTGCACGTGATGTGTGGTTTGTTGACTGCCTAACCTTCTACCATTCTTCACAAGTACTACTAATTCCTAACTCACCATCTTTGACTTAAAACTACTCATTTTATTTTCCATCATTTACTATTAAACGTCACCTAATTATACATTAAATAAAAGTTTAGTGAAAATTAAACTATAGTATATTACATGACTTTGTCAATGAAATTATGTAGCATAAAAAATATATTTATTATATAATTCAACAAACAAATACTAATTATTTTTGTTCTTGTTAATTAATTTCAGGTTTTTGAATGCTGGAATATTTGGCAATGGTACAGAATCTAATTGTACATTACCACACACTGCAACAAGAGCTGCAATGCTTGTTAGAATCAACACACTTCTTCAAGGATACTCAGGAATCAGATTTGAAATCCTGGAAGCAATCACAAAGTTTCTAAACAACAACATTACTCCATGTTTACCGCTTCGCGGAACAATCACAGCTTCTGGTGACCTTGTTCCACTTTCATACATTGCTGGTTTGTTAACCGGGAGGCCGAACTCGAAGGCCGTTGGACCGTCTGGCGAGATTCTTAATGCTAAAGAAGCATTTCAGCTTGCAGGTATTGGTTCCGAGTTCTTTGAGTTGCAACCAAAAGAAGGTCTTGCTCTTGTTAACGGAACTGCTGTTGGTTCTGGTTTGGCTTCTATTGTTCTGTTTGAAGCAAATGTGCTGGCTGTTTTGTCTGAAGTTATGTCAGCGATTTTCGCGGAAGTTATGCAAGGAAAACCGGAGTTTACCGATCATTTGACTCATAAGTTGAAGCATCATCCTGGTCAGATTGAAGCTGCTGCTATCATGGAACATATTTTGGATGGAAGTGCTTATGTTAAAGCAGATAAGAAGTTACATGAGATGGATCCTTTGCAAAAACCGAAACAAGATCGTTACGCACTTAGAACTTCGCCTCAATGGCTTGGTCCATTGATTGAAGTTATAAGATTCTCAACCAAGTCAATTGAAAGAGAGATTAACTCTGTTAACGATAACCCTTTGATCGATGTATCGAGGAACATGGCGTTACACGGTGGTAATTTTCAAGGAACGCCTATTGGAGTTTCGATGGATAACACGCGTTTAGCTCTTGCTTCAATTGGTAAACTCATGTTCGCGCAATTCTCTGAGCTTGTTAACGATTTTTACAACAATGGTTTGCCTTCGAATCTCTCTGGTGGTAGGAATCCAAGTTTGGATTACGGTTTCAAAGGCTCTGAAATCGCTATGGCTTCTTATTGTTCCGAGATACAATATCTTGCTAACCCTGTCACCACTCATGTCCAAAGTGCTGAGCAACATAACCAAGATGTTAACTCTCTCGGTTTGATTTCTTCGAGAAAAACACAGGAGGCTATTGAGATTCTAAAGCTTATGTCTTCTACTTACTTGATCGCGCTTTGTCAAGCAATTGACTTAAGGCATTTGGAGGAGAATCTGAGAAATGCTGTGAAGAACACGGTGAGTCAAGTTGCTAAGAGAACACTCACAACCGGTGTCAACGGAGAGCTTCATCCGTCTAGATTCTGCGAGAAAGATTTGCTCAAAGTCGTTGATAGAGAGTACGTATTCGCCTATGCTGATGATCCTTGTCTAGCCACATACCCTTTGATGCAAAAGTTGAGACAAGTCCTTGTGGATCACGCATTGGTGAATGTGGAAGGCGAGAAGAATTCAAACACCTCGATTTTTCAGAAGATTGCAACTTTCGAAGACGAGTTGAAGGCTATCTTACCTAAGGAAGTTGAAAGTGTAAGAGCTGCATACGAAAACGGACAAAGTGGAATTCCAAACAAGATCAAGGAATGTAGGTCTTATCCGTTGTACAAGTTTGTCCGAGAGGAATTGGGGACCGCGTTGTTGACAGGCGAAAAGGCGATTTCCCCGGGCGAAGAGTGTGACAAAGTATTCACAGCTATGTGTCAAGGTAAAATTGTTGATCCTCTTATGAAATGTCTTGGAGAGTGGAATGGTGCACCTCTTCCAATTTGTTAATTACTATCAACATTTTACTATGTTTCTTTGGAGAAATGGTTAATTTTTTTTTCTATATCTAAAGTTATTGCATTTGAGAAGAAATTGGTTTGTCTATAACTCTATGGAAAATGGCAAATCAATATGGTTCTTTTCAATGCATGGTTTATTAAGTTTTCCTGAATGTTAAGGAAGTTTTAATTGTTTTTGTAATAGAATTTAATTTGTTTGCCACAGCTTTGGGTGGAAATATCTTATCATACGTGGTATTTGATGTAAATGGTGTTTTTTTTTTTCATGAATAAATAGTGTTTCAGCCATGAACAGTGTATTGTGTTTTAATGATTAATTGTCTGATATTTTGATTCACACATGGTTGATTTCACTGACAGGATCAAATATATGTAGTTATAGTGTGACAGTAGTAAATCTCGGTAGAAGTATGTTGAATTTTGCTACATAGAGTGAAGAAAGTAAGTTTGATGAGAAACAATATTTAAGGATCAATCAAATCCTGTAGAAGAGAATCTACTCAATGGTCTACAATAATATGTTGGTCTCTAGTGGGCCAGGAAAAATATATAAAATAATTTAGTACATTCTTTGTCCATTTTAAAGCAAAGAAAAGAAGAAAAAAAAGTAAGCATTGTAGAAGAAAAGAAAATGACAAATTTATGATACAAACACTAATTCCCACTATGTAGTTGGCACACGAAAAAGAAAATTGTTGGTAGATGAAAAAGAAACATTCACATTACATTTAGATTTGTTTTTTAATGGCTTACTTTATATGGTACAAGAAGTAGTTTTTTTTTTTTGTGGTGATGTTCACAAGAAGTAGTTTGATTAGAAAGAGGAGGTATTGTTTTGAATCCCTTAGTAGCTTGCCAAGACTAGAATAATTGAGTCGCTATATTAAGAACGTTTTTTATGGTCACATAACATTGTTTCAAATTTCCTTGTTTCTTTGCATTCAAATTAGCAAAAGACTGTAAATGTATACGGTAAATTTATTTATATTTTAGATCACTTGATAAGTTATTCGATAATGTTTGATTATTAAAGATATATAATTGTTAGTTTTATTATAAAATTAATAATAATTAAGAAATAATATGTGCGTTCATATGAATATCACAGTATATTTAAAAAAATTATGAATCAATAAAATATAAGGATGTATTCTATTTTACTCTAAATAATAAAAACAATTATAATTAATATTATGTAAAATATATTAAGACTCGTGTGTTTGCACGTGTCATATAATATTATTATAAATAATAAATAAATATAATAAAGTGATGGTTAAAATAGTCTCAGGATATCAGAAATATATATACTCTACTTTAGTAGAAAAAATAAATAAGATAATTAAGTTGTTATCTACCCGTACGTTCACAAGGATTGCACAACATTGTTATAAATAGTAAATAAATATAATATAATGATGATTAAGAAAAGATATATAAAAGATATAGAAATTAAATAGTCTTAGTCCGTCGAAAAGGTATATTTTAGTAGAAAAAATAAATGAAATAATTAAGCGGTCATCTATCCTGCATTTATACGGGTTGCACAATATCATTATAAATAGTAAATAAATATATTATAATGATGCTTAAAAAATTTATATAAAATATATAGAAATTAAGTAGTCTCGTCGAAAATATAAATTTTAGTAGAAAAAATAAATGAAATAAAAGTAGTCACGTGTTCACATGGATCGCGTAATATTATTATAAATAGAAAATAAATATAATATAATGATAGTTAAAAAAAAGTATATAAAGATATATAAATTAATTAATTTTGGTATGTTACAAATATATATTTTAATAGAAAAATAAATGAAATAATTAAGTTATCATCTACCCGTGTATTTGTACGGATCTCACAATATCATTATAAATAATAAATAAATATAATGTATTGATAATTAAGAAATTTATATAAATGATATACAAATTAAATAATATCGCTCCGTCAAAAATATATATTTTATTAGAAAAAATAAATAAAATAATTAAATAGTCGTCTACATGTGCTTTCGCACGTGCCGGACAATATATTTATAAATAATAAATAAATATAGTATAGTGATGATTAATAAAAAATATAAAAATTAAATAGTTTCGACTCGTCGAAAATATATATTTTAATAGAAAAATAAAATAAAAATTTAAATTGTCACCTATACATATATTTGCACGGTTATGCAATATCGAAAATATATATTTTAATAAAAAAATAAATAAAAATATTAATTTTTATTTACATTCATGAAAGTATAAAAATAAAATAAAACTATAATAAACATTTCTTCTACTTTACACCTTTATACACGATGTTCTTTTCTCTCAAGTACTGAACCACACACATTTGTTATTATTTTGACAGTTACCTTTAAAATTGTATCTCTTTAGTGATTCATTTCATATGATATAAACCTGCAGCCATGACTTAAAAAGTATTATCATTTAAAGACAAATGTCACTTTAGTTCAACTTATATATACGGGAAACTTATACACTTAAAAATAGAGTAAAATATAAAATAAAATAAAAATAAAAAAAGAAGACAAACCATTGAAACACTGTCACAACATAGTGTAAAATTTTAATATTTAGAGTGTGTTTATTTCACGGATTAAAATTTTATTTAACAGAAGATTATTCTTAAGAATATTATTGTAGTAACTTTATTTCTATCAACGTGTTTGACAAATAAATATAATTTAAAGAAATATTTATTAGATATTAATTTAATTAAATTTTAAAAATTAAAAATAAATGTCCGTGTCACTTTGACTCCTCAATTTCAATTTTGTTTCAACCTCGTATCTCTTAGGTCTCTATTGCATTCTCTTTAATTTCAGTTTATTTCTATATATTCTTTTTAATTTCAGTTTGTTTTTTGTGCATCAAAATCATATTGCTAATGATTTAAAAAATTAAAGAACTTATATACTTTAAGACAGCAAAATTAAAACCAACATTTATGTCTCTATTAAAACAGTAAAAAATATAGTTATATATGTTTACTGAAATTTGATAAATAACATTTAGTCTTCTAAAATCTAATATTTTTAATTACTTATATGATCGATTAGATTGATTTTAGGACGATAATGTATAATTTGTGTTTTAAATTTTCTTGATATTGATATCTTCAAAAGTGAAAATAAACTTGAAAATAATAACTAAGTAATTTATGAAAATGACTAGAAAATAAAGAGTTTCAACTTGAATGTAAAAGCAATGTAAATAAGTTTAATGAAAATGAATTGATATTGAAAGTAAATGTGGTGTTTCATACGTACATTCTCAGAAACTCGTTTCTCGATAATAGTTGGTACTTTGATTAAATATGAGTAATTTGTAAAATATTGAACACACAAAATCCTAAAACTAAAGACTCCTATTTATACTACTTCGACACAGACGATCTTCTTATTAGAAGAGAATACATTCTCGCTTGCATGTGTTCGACCCTTCGCAGACCCCCACATATCTCTTTTCAAAAGAACATATAAGCGTCAAAATTGAAATATTATTGTCGAACCCGCTTCGAATTGTTTCCAAAATGCTAAGTTTCGATTTTCACCAAACTTCGGTCGAAAAGACCATCTTCTACTTTCGTCGAATATATCTTTACTATTCTTGATTTTTCTTAAAAAACCTTGATGTCTTTATTCAACTCTTGAGCATCGAATTTCCAACTAACAAATTTCCCCCAAAAAATATCTTGTTCGATCAAATTGAGAAAAGGACATTTTTGAAAGCTTTCGACGTGTTAGTAGTTACTAATGTGACATCATAGTCATGATTACCATTTTTCATAAATATTTCATTGAGACGTGCGTTGTTGCTTTGAATCATTACTCCTAGAAAATAGGAGTATGAAAGTAACTTACCTAGGTAACCGCTTATGTATCCTCTCAAAGCGTAACACGTGCCCCACTAACTATTCAGTCATGAAAAAAGAAACATCATTCTTCTTCTTCTTATAAATACCAAAACCTTTCATTTTCAATACTTTTCCAACTTCCACACTCTTAAATTTGTGTTTTCTTGAGCTTCTTCTTCACAATCTTCACGAAATCTTCATCTTCTAATGGCACCCAAAATCAAAGTATCCAAGCAACAAAAAGAAGCTTCCATCCTGATCACCAAGATAGTAACACTACTATTGGTAGTAAATCAAGAGTATGTTTCTGAGCCCCCTCTTCTTGAAGAGAAGCGTAAAATCGATCAATATTAGGTACTAATTCCTCTAACTATTTCTGGTGAAACACATGCATATATGAGTCCGTTATCTGACCCTAGTGTAGATCCATAAAAACTTAAAGATTTCTTCCTTGTTTATCATTGTACCAAACCTTTGGCTAGTAAACAAAAACCTGATGATAAAGATAAAAAAACGGATACCCAGAAATATGTGGATGACCAAGCAAAGTCTTCGACTGACGCTTCAAAAATAGAAGGCAACGTTAACCTAGAATATATGACCAACACTCTTAAAGTGGTTTGATCTTGCCCCTTGATGAAAGACCATGAACCATGTCTTTCTTGGCTTACTAAGGCTGAGAGTAAGAAAATCCAATTCTTGAAAGATATGGAGATTTATAACATGATTCAACTGTCGAAATCTGGCCCTGGGTATAGCCAAAGTATGTTAGTGGCCTCATTGTACTTCTGGGATTCTACCTAAAACACCTTTTATTTTCCCTTATGGGATGATGACCCCAACTCTGTTTGATATTGTTGCCATCACTGGTCTTCGACCTATTGCTGCCATCAGTGATCAAAAAACATATGAAGAAGTTTATGACAAAGAACATATCACTTTTCTGGCGTTATGGCTATCACGTTGCATTTTTTGTTCGAGCTCTCTTCAAGTAGTGAAGAGATATCTCACCATGGCGAACAAAATTCATGTTGCGCACAAGTTGTGCTTGAGCCAAATCATTTTAGGTTCCCTTTATGAATCATTAAGAGAGTCTATTGAGATCTTAAAGA